AGTGTATGCTATTATTTGTTTCTAGCCTTATTGTGTAATGGAGTGTATCTGGTGGTATTTGAATCTGTTTAACCATGAAGCCTTCGTGGTCTAATGGTTATGACGCTCGCCTTGACCAGGTCAAGGCGAGGGTGTGTATTACATGTTGCTTGAAACACGAAGATTTTCTTTGGCCAGTGACATCGAACTAAAAATAATTTGGCCATTCAAATAAATAAATTAAGAACCAGGGCCTTATAATAAGCAAGATTTACTGATTTTTGATAGGGTGAGGGGGAGATGGGTGAGCTTGCGAGCGAAGCAGGCATTCGGCCGGGGCAGTCCGGAGGCCGAGAATCTCCGACAAAGTAGCATTTTAAGGCCGTATTTAATGGATTTGTGAAACCCCTTATTTTAAAATTTAAATTCCCATTCATTTGGCTGTTTTTAGAACCTGAAAAAGTAACGTTTTAAGATGTCCATTTAATATGGATCATTCTGGAGTCACTGGAGCTGAACAAACCCCCCACCCCAGTCATTGAAAATTGTTTGTTGTTAGAAGAGCTGGCAAATGAAATGCAATTATTCATAGTATTTTGCGATTTAAGAACGATTTTAGTGAAATAGGAATAAAAAAGTGGACCTTTTGAAAATTGGGGGTGCGTCCGCATCTTGTGCATTCTGCTTTTGTCTGGCGAAGTCAGATATGTCCTTTAAAACTGGGCTGCACGCATCAAAATAATCCGACATGAGAATGAATTCTGATGGCCTCTGTCTAATTAGCTGCGTGTTCCCTTAAAAAATTTGAAACAAGCACATTAATAATACTTGACAAATATGGAAATACATGTTATTGCCATCCAGTGACCTTTTTTTCGGTTGACATATTGCTGACCTCGGGGTGTGGTTCTGGTTGGATACGTTTATCATAGATATCGCAGCATGTTTGCCATTTGTTGGATTTACTGTATCTGTAACCCGTGACTGCATTTGGTGTTACCTTGTAGTAGGGCACTAGCTGCGTTTATACAAAAGTGAAAGTAGCAGGCCTTTTACGTTAAACAAATACGGAAAATGGCGGGTAAGTTGTTACCTCTCAAAAGTTTAGAAACTGGTAGTAAGCCTAATCATAAGGCCAATAATACTACAATCAATCACTGAGGCTCTCAGTACATGCTCGACCTAAAGCTCCGTAATTCGCCGTGGATGTACGGCAGCAGCACAGACCTCCTCATGGAGGCTTTATCGAGTAATCTAAGCGGTATGATTTTGAGGCTTGTTATGGTTAATCATAATTTTGACAGCACGGTATGTTGACGGAAGTAACTATCGGTACGATCGAACGTGCGTCTATAGGCACGGTCGACCGAACGGTCGGCATGGTTGACCGTGCGTAATTAATTAATGTATAGGCAAGGTCGACCATGCAATAAAATTTCTGATCATCATTATCATCATCATCTTCATCATCGTCACCACCACAGTTACCACAATCATCATCAACATGATCATACATCATCGTCGTCATCATCGTCATTGTTATCTTCATTGCTTTTTTTTACGGTTGTGATTATTTTTATTGAATTCTATATTTCGTTATACAAATTGCTAATTGTTGTAATATTGTTATTAATATCGTTTACATTTAAATGTTTTGAGACAGATTCAAAAGAAAAAAGGCTGATTAAAATTTGGCGTGCATACACAATGCGAGTGTGAGACACAAGTATAAACATTATTGTGTTCCTTTGTCCTATGCCTGTTTAATGAATAGGCCTATACATTAACATTCATGTTGTCTTATATTCACGCGCAAGCAGAAAGCTAATAGGCCTATGTTTCATACCATTACTAATGTGGCAAATCTCTATCCAAAGTTCAACTTGATACGGTCGGCTGTACATACTCTGACCTATCACTTTTCTGTACCGTAGTTGGTCTTGAAAACACATAAATACACCAACTGTTTGCTCCGGGTAAACGTTGTTGCGTTTGATATTGCATGTAAGAAATGTTGAATAAGAAACCAGGAACGGATGCTTGTTCCGTGGACATACACATCTGTTATTACTCAAAGCAAGGAAATTGTTTTAATCTGTTAGAAGAAGCCGTGGGTTTTGATTTATATTATGGTAGACATAGCCGGGTTTCATTCATTCACATCATTTAAATATTTTTAACCAATGTAAATATACCCTTACATTATCCTTTTGAAATAAACGTGGGGGAATTTGGATGTCTGTAAAGGCTGTAAAAAAAATCTAACATTTCATTTCTTATTTAAAGGATCAAATAAGTTACTACCTTCCAAAAAACACTTAATAAAATCATTAAATTTATTACCAGTCAATTTAATTTGTGCAAAGAATAATTAGGAAACGTTATTTTATTTATGAGCTTTCTTGACAATGAAAAAGCTAATAAATTATAATTGAATATCACAGAGTAAAGGATTCCAGTATTGGATTTCATTATTAAAGTTAATTAGGCTTACCTCAACACACACACGCTTCAACAGCTAACTCAGTGAATTAAGTACTGTAAATGCAATTGGAAAAGGAAACATTGGCTCCGTGACAAACATTCAGTAGAGTAGGGGGTTCGCGATTTAACCTTTTCGACAGGACTAGGATCTGACCATTTTATCGGGAGCCATTGGGGTTCATAAGAAGCCTTGAGGGTCCGGAGAAACTAACCTTCAACGCCTAGAGAGATTTGGCAATGTTTAGCCGTAAACTGCAGGAGCGGATCCAGAGATGTCCAGAAAGGGGTGGGGGGGGGCCGAAGTGGGGCCGATCGAGATAACACTAGCCTAGGGACTTCGGGGACGTGCCCCCGCGAAATTTTTCTTTTCTAGACACCTCTGAGGCCTTTTGGCCCATAAATCATTTCGTTTTCTTTCTTTTTTGTCTTTTATTTTGACATTAATGTTTTTCCTTTTGTTTTGTTGCAACGAGGCCTCTTCCTGTCTGGTGTGCTTGTTACCATGGAATAAGGACCTATACAATGTGTATGGATTTGTTGACAGGGTTGTTATAGGAAGGGAATTCTCTTCAAAAATCACCTGGTTTTTCTTGTATGGTAAATTAGTAAAGAGAGGGCATATGAAAACATATTTTTACTACAGTACCGTATTCTCGCGTATCATAATTTTATTTTACTCAAAACGTAATGAGTCTGGTAGGCAAAAAAGGGAACATTTCCCTGTACAAGATGCCTACCAAAGAAACAATGATAAAGGAAAAGACATAATAATAATAATAATAATAATAATAATAATAATAATAATAATAATAATAATAATAATGATGATGATGATGCCAGGTTAAGTGGCATGACCAGGCTTGATCATCTAAATACATAACCGGCGGAAGCGGGGGGCCGCCCCCCCCCACCACTTTTTGGCCAAAAATATATAATGTCTGGAGATTTTTGTATGATCGGAAATGCAAAAAAAGGAGGGAAGAAGGAGGAGAAGGATGGGAAAGAGAATGATTATCCAGTACCCGACCGAGTCACATTTTAGGGAGTTTTGATCAATTCCGACGAAATTACAATTTAAAAAACAAAAATTTTTCGCGCACATTTTTTAATTTTAAAGCTTGTGCTTGTTCTCCTTTGCCTTCTAAGTTATAACACATAGTCCCAAACTTGAGAAAGAAAATTTAAGATAGATCATTTTACCTAAAAGAAGGGCCTCAATCTGTAATTATTTTGAAAGAATATGTTTGTAATAAATAAAGCCATAAGGAAAATGCTTATATTCAGTTTAAAAAAAACGAGTGTGGCCATATATAACATAAGAGCGTTTCTTGTTGAGGTAGACCAATTTCCTCTAAAAATTGCACATTTTAGGGAGTTTTGATCAATTCCGACAAAATTAGAATTTAAAAAACAAAAATTTTTCGCGCACATTTTTTAATGTTAAAGCTTGTGCTTGTTCTCCTTTGCCTTCTAAGTTATAACACATAGTCCCAAACTTGAGAAAGAAAATTTAAGATAGATCATTTTACCTAAAAGAAGGGCCTCAATGTGTAATTATTTTGAAAGAATATGTTTGTTAATAGATAAAGCCATAATTAAAATGCTTATATTCTGTTTAAAAAAACGAGTGTGGCCATATATAACATAAGAGCATTGCTTGTTGAGGTAGGCCAATTTCCTCTAAAAATTGCACATTTAGGGAGTTTTGATCAATTCCGACGAAATTAGAATTAAAAACAAAAATTTTTTGTTAGGTTAAAGCTTGTGCTTGCCCTCCTTTGCCTTATAAGTTATTTAAAAACATAATAGTCCCAAACTTGAGAAAGAAAATTTAAGATAGATCGTTTTACCTAAAAGAAGGACCTCAATGTGTAATGATGGTGAAAGAATAGGCCTATGATTGTAATAAATACTAACCACGATGAAAATGCTTATACAGTATTTAGTTTCAAACACACGTGTGTGGCCTATATTAATAATAAAATAAGCCCTATGTCGTATTGTTTTCTATATGGTGGGTGGGGGGGGGGGTATCACCCAAGACCCCTGTTACACGCCTGCTTATAAGTGGCCCCCCCCCCCACTTTGAAAAACGTTCCGCCGGCCCTGAAATAGTTCGCATTTCCAAGAATTAAAGAGTCATTACACCACAAAACACAAAACAACTATTAGTAATGGAGTAGAATTTAGTTTTACATCAACTTGTCAAAATCAAAGATCTCAATCACCAAGCGCATAGAGGCTTTTTTGCCTGATGCGCTACACAAATTCAACAATTATTATCATTATTATTATTATTATTATTATTATTATTATTATTATTATTATTATTATTGTTATTGTTATTATTATTATTATTATTATTAATCGATCCTAGAACCCCGAAAATCCGCCGTCTCATGGGACTAAGTTGAGTTGTAATTATTGTGTTCTGTTCGTTCGTTTATGAAATACTTAAAATATTTAGACCCCCATCACGCTAAGCTAAATGACTGGTGGGAATGCCTATTATGTTTTCACAATCTATTAGATGATTTTAATGAAATGAAAAATGAATACCCAGGGATGTTTAAAATATATTTGCAGACGTCTCAACATCAATCATTACTAATGATTACACCGTTGTACTCTTGAAAATACACTCAAATCGCCCTAAGAATCATGCGTGCCAGGAAGTAGGCCAAAGGTAAATTAGGACTACTGTACCGGTATGTACTGAAATATGCAATTATAGCTTGATAAGCGTGATTTTACCATTTGACGTACATCAGTCTAATTAATAGTCTAAGTAATAGAAATATCACGTGTTCAATCCAGACCTTTAAACATTCCAAATTGTCAACAAAGTTTAAATAGATAGGTCTAATTGTAATGAATTTATTAAGGTAATGGTTTGTTAGAACAACTTTTTAGATAATCAGCCCAAACACTAATTATTAGGCCTAACCTAGATTTACACTACATTCACATTATTTTCTCAGATTTGAAAAGCGAAATAGAAGGACGCAATGCAGTTTTCCAAGCCATGTTTAAGGCGGGAAAATTCAAGGAGGCTGCTGAAGTGTATGCACCCGATTGTAAAGTTATGCTGGCCCACCGAAACCCTATAGAAGGCAGAGACAGTAAGTTGTTCTCATTTTCAATCCTAGTTGTTGTATTACTGCCACCACCACCACCACCACTCAAAATCCATTTCCATTTATCATTTCCCTTTATTAATTAAATTTAGTGGAAATATAATAACTCATTTAACCTTCCGTCTCATGCAGAGCTCACACTTTACTAACGCACATGAAAAATGTAAGAGAGCGCCCTCTATACACCCGTGGTCCGGTGTGCAAAATCGTTTTTCATATCCACGATCTTTGCTCCGATAGAGCAAGTTTTTTCAAATATCGTATACATTAGCATATCCTAGAAATCGTCGAAGTAGAGGTGGCCCACAGAAGGACTTTTACAGGTGGAGCTGTCATGGTTGAGACTGAGCAATATCTCTTGGCCGGAGTAATGGCGCTCTCAGACCTGAATTTAAATCACTTTATTTTACAATTTTTAAACATTTTTTAAAATGTAGGGGTCTTGTAAAATCATACTGGCGCCCTAGTGACTTCGTAATACTATCTAAATATACACTAATCGCGCCTTTTTCGTCATTATGATTAATTAAAATTTACAGGGTTTTGGTAAATCTATCGGCGACTATGTTTAAAGATTCAAACCTTATTCTCATCCATTTCCATAACCAGATTTTTTGTAATACTCTAAATCAAGAAAATCGTATGTTCATCATTTAAATGTTGAGGTCAATGGCTAAAAAAACATTAAGAACACTGTAGTCGATAAGATTAAGTGCAATTTTGATGATGTAAAAAATTTTTACTTAGCATCAAAGGCCTATGTCATAAATAATCACTATCGCAAATATCTGAAATTAAAGTGCATCGACTGTAATAATCACGGTATTTGTGACGGTATAAAAACCATTATGGAGAGAGACCCTTCTCTTAACAACGAAACCACTCAGTACATGAAATTTTTACTCAGAGGCTTCAGAATGAGAGGTTATACAGTTTTTGTCATTTCTCGTTTTGCTGTTCTCTTTTGTGCTTTCTTTGGTATGCTTTTTATATTTTATCATGATTTGCTCTCCTTTTTGGAGGTTTCTTTAATTTTAAAATTTGAATTTCTGGAAATTCCATTGATTGCATACTGTCGATTTCTTCCTCCTTTATATTTTTAGCTTGTTAGAAAGCTTCTCAAACGCTTGCTCCTTAGGTTTTGAGAAGTCCTGTTCATCTTTTAAAACTTTTAATTTAAGCATTCTATCTGTTCTTAGTATTCGCTTGAATATTTTGAAAAAAATAAGATAATACTGTATTATATTGCATTAGGCCCTATATAAAGAATGTTGTGACCATCGTTTTTGTGTCTACTGCCCCCAACGTGGGCGTAGACATTATGTCATGATGTAGTGATTAAAGATGGCGGAAAAGGGTAAATCCGATTTTGCGATTTTTTCCCCGTACGAAACATTTGCATTAAACTCCATCAGGAATGAAAAATTATTCCTATTTGCAAGCTTATATGCACAAGTACCAAAAGTACCAATCGAAACATTTAGTAGATGACATAGTTATGAATAAACTAAAGATCAAAGCATCTTTCCCTACTGATCAAAGTTACCTACAAAAACAAAGAAAGCTTTCAGCCCATTGTTAAGCAATTGACGTTGCCATGCAGCGCTAATAACTACCGGTAATGGGTCGTTTAAAATGACAATGTAATATTTGATTTAGCTACACGAATAATAAAATTGTTATTTGAACTTGAGTTACATGGGAACATTTTTGTTTTTTAGTTGGCCTAGGTTTTGGATAATTATAAGTACCAGGCCTAGAACTACTAAAAATTATGCATAGGCAGTGAGTTTGGATTGGTCATGTACAATGTGATCACTTACTCAAAAAAGTTTTAGAAGGCCGCTTTCAGAGAAAAGCATAAAGAGGAAGGAAAAGAACAGCAATTAATTGATCAAATGAAACAGGGTGACAGTTATTTTGACATTAAAAGAAAAGCTGAGAATAGACAGCTCTAAAATAAGGATGACATCATAGGACCTGCCAAAATAGCAGAGCACCAATGAATAAGGCATAGTTGTTAATTATAGGCCTAGTAAATAGTATTGTACTGTAAGTGCTTCTTGATTACAAGTTAATTAATGGCGAAATTATATATTTTTATTTAATTATTATTATTTTTATTATTATTTATTATTATTAATCGTTATTCATATTATTATTTTTATTATTATTATTACTATTAATATTATTGTATAGGTCGCAGAACAAACCACGAGAACGAGTTTTTGTATGAATCAACCTTTAATCACCAAAAACACCGTTGCTATAAGGAAACAAATTCCATTAAGCAAATAACAAATATCAATATACGTAACTGTAATATCGTCATAATATATATGAATATTTCTATGTTATTCTAATATAAACCTTTTCTGCAAGTTATAATACTATAAGGTGAGTTATATCTTCTTTAATTAAACATATGTGAATGCATTACTGTACTTATGAACGTGTCACAATTATATATAACAAGACTTCAAGCAAAGTATTATTTATTATAGTCTCAGGCACACATACCGTGAATTTTGCTCACTCCGTACCATATACAGATTCCTTACAGCTACCAATACAAATGTATTTGTATTCACAAAAAAAAATATTCACAAAAAGGCCAAGTTACTGAAGAAATTGAAAGCTGAACTAAAGGAAATTTCCAACAAAGTAAGTGAACAACTATGCTCTGTCCAGTTTTACATCTTAAAAAAGGCATTACAACACAATGTGAATCGTTATATTTCCAAGGTTTTACTAAAACATGAACAGAAATTGAGAAAACTTACGGGGAACTCTTCACTATTCTTCAATAAAACTGATACTGTCACCAACATCTCTTCGGTTACGTTATCCAAACAACAATTGGACTTGCTCAAAGATGGTCTAGGACATACAATTGTTCCACAAAGGATAAACAAAGCTGATATCTGTGCAAGTTTTGAATCCTTAAATTATAACATCAATAAACACCTTTTGGATCAAGAGAAAGTTCCTGAAATCAGAGCACATCTATCAGCAATGGCACAGTCTTATTACAACTCGTTCACACCATCAACCAAGGACTTAGGAAAAATCAGGGTTATCAAACAACTTCGTAAAAACAAGAACATTATCATCACCAAGCCTGACAAAGGCAACGGAGTAATTATTATGGATAGGGAAACATATGACAAAGGCATGCTTGAGATCATTAATGATAAATCAAAATTCAGTATTCTCCGTGATGATCCTACAATAAAGAAAGAAGAAAGTCTAAAAAGGCTATTACGAAAATTAAAAAAGGAAAACCAAATCACAGATGAAGTTTACAATAATATTTATCCCAAAGGTTCATATCCAGCAAGAATTTATGGCCTCCCAAAAATGCATAAAAACAGAAAACCTGATGGATCACCCCCTCTAAGACCCATAGTTTCTTCAATTAGTACTTACAACTACAATTTGTCTAAGTATTTAAGTGATCTAATTAGACCTTGTGTCTCACTTGAGTATAGTTCGAAAGATTCTTTAGTTTTGTTAACGAGATTCGCAACCTTAACTTAAAAAATAAAGTCATGGTTTCTTTTGACGTTGAAAGTTTATTTACCAACATTCCGCTCAAAGAAACGATTGAACTTGCTGCTAACTCAATTTATAGTCATAACAATGAATTAAAAATCACTAAGAATAACTTAATCAAATTATTGACCATTGCTACTTCAGGCACTCATTTTTTGTTTAAAGATACATACTATGAACAAATTGATGGAGTTAGTATGGGTTCTCCCTTGGCCCCTATTTTAGCAAACTTATTTATGGGATTCCAAGAGACACAATGGCTCAATGATTGCAAATGTCCTGATGTACTTTATTATCGCAGATATGTAGACGACACGTTTTGTGTGTTTAATAATCAAAATGAAGCTGACAAGTTTTTTAAGTTCATAAACAATAGACATATTTCTATCAAGTTTACGATGGAAAAAGAGAATGACAACAAACTAAGTTTTTTGGATGTACTCATACATAAACAGGATGATAAATTGAAAACATCTGTTTTCAGAAAATCCACCTTCAGTGGTCTATTACTAGGTTTTGTTAGCTACTGTCCTTTTAATTACAAATTAAGATTAGTCAACACACTTGTTGATAGAATTTATAAGCTAAATAACACGTGGCTTGGCCTACATAATGATCTTTGTGACCTGAAAGATATCTTACTACGAAATGGTTACCCAATTCACATTGTTGACAAGTCTATTAAAAACTATTTAGATAACACAATCTCTGATATTACAAAGAAAACTGTCAATGATGACAATGTCAAAACACTTTTTGTTAAACTTCCATATATTGGCATATTTTCTGACAACATGAAATGCAGAATTATGGATCTTGTCAAAAAATACTGTATCGATTGTAAAGTACATGTGATATTTAGTACCACTAAAATCAGTCAGTTCTTTAGTATTAAAGATACTATCCCCAATGAATCCCGATCCTCAGTAGTATATAAATTTAAATGTGCTGGATGTAATTCCAGTTATATAGGCCATACAGGCCGTAGATTAATTACGAGGATTGGTGAACATCTTGGAAAGGATAAAAATTCACACGTACTTAAACACCTCAACGCAAACAGTAAATGTAAAAG